TTTTGTACAGTCAAATATACAAAGGAGGATTCAGGCAGAAAAAACATATATGATTTGTACGTTTTGAGAAAAGGCACTATTCTTTTTCTTAATGTGGCACAAATACTCCATCGTACAAATACGACTATTTCTTAACAGGTCTGTAATGTGGGTATTTGAAGCCAATCATGTTAACCTTATTACTTATTCATATATAAATTCATGTATAAACTGAATGTCTTACAACTCAATTCCTGAATGTAAGCCCCCCGTCTCACCAAGGATTATCACAGTACCACAATTCATACACAGTTCTTTAGAGAAATTCCAATTTAATCTATGTAAAATCCATTTCCATCTTGTATCGTTTCAGTGCTTAGTCAAAGTAACTGCACATATGATGGCATACAACTAGATTTAATTTCTCTTACCTCATCACTTGCTGAGAAGACAGCAGGTATGCCTTAAAGTAAATCTATTGGTTATTTGAACAGAAATTAAGAAAAAAAAAAAAAATTCCATCCAAAAAATCATGGAGAAATATATGGAAGGTTATTTTTCTTTAGTGGCATTGAGGCATTTTTCTGTGTGCAAATCCCTTTGGATGCTATATTGTGTTTTAGTTGCCTTTCTATTCAGACTGCAAGACAGGATAACTAGTATATCAATATATGATATGGGTAATACGTAAATAAGCATTATATTATAAGTAAGTATTATAATTAATACTTATAATGCACCGTCTCCTATTTAAAGAGGCTCAAAAGTAACTGAACAAACCAACATTATTTTACATTTTAAAGGATTTTAAAGGATTGTGTTTAAATATTTGGATAAAAATCCTTTGCAATTTAGAACCAGTGGACATCAGTAAAAACACGTCTGTACGCTCTGTCTGCACTTATCCTTGAAAATGTTGGGACACTGTGTGAAATGTAAATAAAAACAAAATGCAATCTCAAACAATGGAAGATAGAAAGCATATCAAATGTTTAACCATTGGACATTTTACTCTTACATGAAAAATGTTAAATCACTTTGAGTTTGTTGGCAGTAACATATTTCAAAAAAGTTGGGACAGGGAAACAAAACCTTGCAAATGCAAATGCAGGACACAGGAATCAGGAGTGAAGAGTCAAACTTAAAGCAACAATCCAGAGAAAATAAAGAGTGAGTCAGAGGATGCAAAATCACAGAACTCTAGCAATACTATAGGAAGCACTGGGAATAAGGTCAAGAATCATACTGCTTACTCAGGCAACACATCAAAGAAAGACTTAGACAATATGTACAAAATTAAGCACAAGACAGAAAAACAGCTACCATAATAAGACAAGGAGGAAGACACAACTGAAATGGAAATATGGTCACCTACCAATCAAAGTACAGAAAGCTCATATGAGGTTATAAATATATAAGACTGAAGGACTTTTCATGGGAAAAGACAAAGTTCCTCTAACATCTCCTCCCATGTCATACTGGACACAACTCAAGATGCTGTTCTCTTTGTTCTCTTTGAACTTTTAATTAAACTTGCGCTTTATATGCATTAGTAAATCATGTGCTTAATTATTATGTGCTACTGAGAGCCACAGGTATGATCAAATTTCATTTTTAACACAAGAAAAACAACAACAACAACAACAACAAAACATGTTGTTGTTTAACTCTACCTCAAAAGACAACACAGGTGTAACAGATGACATGGTCATAGCTCAATATATATAGAAAATACTTTTATGAAGAAGTTTCTGTATAAAATTAGTAGTAAATTAATTTAAATTTCTATCTTGACCTTGACTGGAAGTGATTGATCCGGCTTATTGCCACTACCTACTTTTGAGGTATTCAGACACTGTTAAATTGCACACACCGTTGTGTAGACCACTTTTATCAGTTATGCTGAGTGCTAAAAATACAACAACAGTAAAATCTTTGCATATGGTGTGTTTGCTGTAACTCGTTAACATGCCAATGCTGTTTGAAACTATTATGTAAACATGATAACTGTTTTTAGATTGGACATCAAAAACATGAACATACTTAAACACTAAACAAAATGTATTTTAGCAAATAAAATAAAATTTAAAAAAATAAAATTGTGCTGTAGTATTTAAATAGTGCAACTTATTTAACACAGCGCAGGTTTAATAGGATTTACCCAACTGCAACATTAAAATTGCCTGCTCAGTACTGTTTAGCTCTCCTCAATGCCAATCAAACATCTGTGACCCAACCAAGCTTTATCTCGCAACTCAATCCTCAATCTAAAAGGAATTTGGGGAGTTTAAAATATACATTAATATCTTAGGTTCTTTTTTCGTTCTCAGCGTTTAGTATAGTTTTTTATTGTTAGCTGTGAATCAGGAAATACAGTGAGTCTTCTGCTATTTAAAAGGATGATGTCTGAAATCATCCATTTCTTTTCATAATTTCTGTTCATGTTTTATTTCTCATCTTTCACTTCCTAAAGTCCATGCAGTTACATGTGTACTCTATCAATATTTACTGCAGTAAAGATGTGTTTCAGTAGGTTCTACATCTCAATTTAACATCCACATGATGGGCCTATATCAACTGGAAATAACCTTTAATATTAACCAACTTTTGTAGCTGTAGAAAAATGCAGGTTGAGCTAAGCCACAAAGAAAATGTTGAAAGAGTACATGATACATTTTACCCTAACTACTACTGAGAGGCATGGACTTACAACAGATGGAGCGCCGGTGTTGTGCGGTGAAAAAAGTGGACTAGTCAGCAGGATGCGAGTAAAGATGCAGGAGGAGAACTGAACCGGTGAGTTAACAGCATATCACTGCATCACACACCAGGAAAGGCTGTGTGGTAAAGTCCTAAAAATGGAGCATGTAATGATCACCGTAACGCAAACCGTAAATTTTATCTGAGCTAAAAGTTTAAATCACCGTCAATTTCAGTTTTTTATGTGGGAAAGAGATTCAGAGTTTGCCGACATTCCTCATCATACAGAGGTCCGTTGGCTAAGTTCGGGGAAAATTCTCAATAGAGTTTTTGAGCTCATCAAGGAAATCTGTCAGTTCACGGACATGGCATGTATGATGCGGTGAAGGCATTTCAAGTGAAGCTGTCA